TACCTAGTACTTACTAGGTAACATCAGGGTACTTACAGGATATGTACATAGTACTTACCAGGTAACATCGGGGTACTTATCGGACTGAGTCACATCAGATTATTGTGAATCTTGGAAAGGGACATGAGCAAAGAGTGAGGGTTGTGGAGTAAGTTTTTAATCCAGGCAGTGATCACAACTCCAGACTGGGCAGCTTGTTGTTGTTGGTTTCTGAGCACTGACCAAACCAACCACTCTCTCCACAGCAAACAGGAAGTCATTCATCCCAAGCCAAGAGTGCCGCCAACTTTCTTTTTGCAGCTCTTAGATTGTCTTTGTTCTTTTGTGACCCATGAGACAATGATGATTTTACGATACATTTTGGGAATCTGAACCCAGGTCAGTTATGCAAGAGATGACAAAGTTCCAGTTCTGTCATGCGGTCCAGACAGAAACAAAACTTTGTAAAAACATAATCCTCATTATAGCCACTTAATGGATTTTTGAAAATGTTCTCTGTGAATCAAAACCAATGAATCCATCAGATAAACACACCCATCATTGGTTTATTTCTACATTAAAAAATAGTTTTTATACTTAGGAATGCATTAAATAAGTTTTTGTTAAACAAACAAAAAATTTTTTTAATATATTTTTAATGGAATTTTTAAAGGAAAGTGTAAGAAAGAGTAATAATCATTCCATGTAGGGTAAAAAGAGTACTGCTTTATTAGGACAGAAACAGATCAGTAGAAACAGCGGACACCTGATGAGATCAACATAAATACAATTACATTAAAAAATATTTGCAAGTGTCAAAAAGAAAAAAAAAAAGGGTATTTCCCACATCGGGCTTTTAAAAAATGTTACTTTCTAATTTCCTGCTGTACAAAAAGAAAAGATAAACATTGTTTTATTATTTGTTTGAAAAGACCGCTCAAAAAGTGCATCAAAGTTTTTCCATCTGTTTTTTTCAAATGTCACAGCTTGGCATTTGATAAAACGTTGCTTCAGTCAGGCTTTAAAATTAAGTTACAACAAACATGATCACAACAAATGCCAACTAGGAATAAAAAAGGTTAAGCTAAACATGCCCTAAATGTAGATCAGTAGTTTTTATTGACACTTTATACTCAAACAATGTAGTGATGGCCACAGAACTGGACTGGAAGGTGAAGATTTATGCACTGAAGAAGTAAACAAGTTGAAAACCCTCTTTATTTGATGAAATTGCAATGCTAACGGCAAACGCTGTATATTTTAATTCTGCAGCAAATATTCTGCAGTGCGACATCTGAAATGTTTCTAATGTCAGGCAAATTAACATGTCAGTCCATAACACTTTGAGCTTTATTGTACAAAATATTATGACTGTGTTACTTGCAATGGCACAAGTCTCCACCACAAGGCAGCCTAACTTTTCAATCTCAATATTCCCTTATCATTTACCATTTCCCTGCAAATGAAACAAAAACAACTGCTTTGGAAATACTTTGTTTGAACTCGCATTTTTATGTTCTAAAAAAAGACTAATTAAATATAAATGTATCAGGGATAGACATAAAAGAAAAATATATGGCAGTAAGATTAAATAAAAATATTTAGTTATTTACAATCTAGCCATTTACCCAATTACCAATGGTACTAATAAGTACAGTGGCTGTGTATTTATTTATAATAGTTGCAAACAATTGCTTAAAATAATGTTTTTCATTTGGTAAATTTCTAAAACAGTTTAATTTGCTAATTTGTAATGCTCTTACATTTTGATCATATTGAGTACAGCTGTGTTATCTGGAACCACCAAGACAACAACAACAACAACAACAACAACAACAGAGACCAAGAACATAAAAACTCAATAAACTCATCAGCACGTCCATTTTTGTTCACAATAGACAAAAAGTTTTCAAGCCCTTTAGTTAGAGCTTGGTCCTATTATGTAATAGCTTGACTAAAATTTGTTCAGCTCATACTACCATCACTTTGCTTTTTTATACAATGCTGATAAAAAAATGTCACACCTGGCACTGAAATAAATACTAACCTCTGATTATTTTGTCGGCGTTTCTTCATAAAATCAATCGGCTGAACAGCAGCCACAAAAACAAGCTGCTCTTCTTTCAACCAGAAATATATATAACAAGTGAAGAAATATACCATGTTGACTCAAAAAAAAGTTTTTCGTCAAACAACGACAAGAAACAATAAAACGCTTCCATTTGTCGAGTCAAAAAAAAAGGATGAAGTTAAGAAGGGTAGAGAGTCATTTTCAATCCCAGAGGATGCACCAAGCTCAGGCTGTGTGCAGGCACTGTCCTTCACAGCAAGAACGTTACTCCGAAATTTGAGGGTTTTTTTTCTCTTGACACCGTGGTGGGGAAAATTTGTTTCACCATTAACGCCCACCCCCTGAAACTCCATTTCACTGGGATGATCTCACTGTCCAGCCAAACTTTCTTCCACTGGGAATCAAGATCATTAAAATACTTTTTGAGGCTAAGAATAGATGGTTATGACCTCCCGACCTCCTCCACGAACCAACAGGACACGATCTAGGCCTTCTATCAAAACCTCCAGAAACTCCATGTCTGAGAGACGTATGGTTAAGGTTTGTCAAGTCTTCAGAGTTGGTTTAGCAAAACCTCCACTTTGGCTGAGACAAAACTCTTTCCAGTTACTTCTGTGTGCTTCTACACTTCTAAGTTTTGAAATTAAACGTGCAAACTTTACTAAACATTCAATCCATTAAACATTCACTTCTTCATGTTCGGTGTCCACTTAAACCTGTGCAGGGTAACGAGGGGCTGATGGTTGGTGTGACACTTGAAAAAAAGATACATTTCATAAAAACATCAATACATTTTAGATCTGGTTGCTACTATAACATGAATAGCAGCATACAAACACTAGTATGTCATCAGGTCCTACTGCCTTCCCCTTCTTTATTCTTTTCAAAGCTTTCCGGACTTCACCCTCACTAATCTTTCCCACTTCCTGGTCCACAGTTCCATGGACCTCCACTCTTCTTTCTCTTTCATTTTCTTCATTTATTAGCTTCTCAAAGTACTCCTTCCATCTTCCCATCACACCCGCCTCACTTGTTAGAACATTACCATTCACATCTTTAACAAGTCTAACCTGCTGCACATCCTTTCCAGCCTGATCCCTCGGTCTGGCCAATCGGTACAAGTCCTTAACGGCCTATTTAGTGTCCAGCCTCCCATACAACTTATCATAGCCTTCTGCTTTGCCTTAGCCACCTCCCACTTTGCTCTACATTGCATCTCCTTATATTCCTGTCTCCTCTCCCAAGTCCTCTCACTGTCATATTTCTTCTTGGCTAACCTCTTTCTTTGAATAGCTTCCTTCACGTGACTGTTCCACCACCAGGTTTCCTTATCATCCATTCTCTGTCCAGATGACACACCAAGTACCTTCCTATCTGTCTCTCTAGTTACTGTTGCTGTAGTAGCCCAGTCCTCTGTAAGCTCTTTCTTTCCACCCAGATCCTTTAACAGCTCCTCTCTCAACTCCTCACAACATTCTTCCTATGGGGCGGCTGTGGCTGAGTGGTTAGAGCAGTCGTCCTCCAATGTGAGAGTTGGGGGTTCGAATCCACCAGCAATCACATGCTGAAGTGTCTCTGGGCAAGACACTGAACCCCTCATAGCCTCTGATGTGTGTCCCATCAGTGTATGAATGTGATATAAAGCACTGATTAGTCTCATTAGAATGATTTGTTCAATTAGCTTTGTATAGATCTAGTAGAGTGCTGTATGAATGGGTAAATGAGGACACAGATTGTAGTGTAAAGCGCTTTGAGCATTTTGAAATAAGATAGAAAGGTGCTATATAAGTACAGTCCATTTACAGTACATTTCCTTCCTCAGCTTCCACCATTTGGTCTTCTTCTCTAATTTTACTCGTTGTATGGCAGAAGACACATCATCACTCTGTCAATTTTACAGTCTATTCTTCCCTCACCTGTAACATAACCCCTTACTTAAGTACTTACGCTCATCCACTTGAGGCAGTACGTCACTCCCAACCTGGACTGTCAATCATTTTCCAACAGAGGACCATGGCCTCAGATTTGGAGGTGGTGATCCTCATCCTAGCTGCTTTAAACTTGGCTAAAAACCATTCCAGTGACAGCTGGATATCACAACATGATGTCACCAACAGGACATCATCTGCAAATGTTTCATCTTATTTTTTTGGTATTTTGTTTTGACTTTTTCACTCAGTCAGGCTGAGAATCAAGCAAGTATTATAAAATATTGCAAAACCATGTTATAGTGGGTTATCAAACTAAATGAATGTAATAGCACCACTAGCCTTTGGGCTTAGCTTAACTTAGAAAATAAATAGAAAGAAGTGAAAAACAACTATGAATACACATACGTAACATCCATAGCAAAACTTTTACAGTCCTTTTATGTGAAGCAAACGGCCCATTAACTGTATCTCAAATTAACTAATACTAATACTCCAGACACATCATAAGAAAGTAACTTTTCTACACGTATCTAAAAAAGTTAAATCTGGTCCTCTGGACATTCAAAAAAAGGGGTGGAGGCCTACGTGTTCAATTGTCCCCCTCTTACAATGCTGTGATTGCTAGTATCACTCAGCCCTCTGTGAATAGTAAACAGCCATCAGTGTGCTAATGATCCATTGTTAGGCTGATGGTCCTTCTTGAGCATGTGATCAGCTGGTTTTGGTTGTCAGCAGCAAAACTGGTTGATCCACTCTGAGAAGGTGTTATTTAAGAGACTGAGCTGAAAACAGCACCTCAGACTGAAGAAGTCTCTCGGACGAGAGACGAAACGTTTCTACATTTTTTGTTGTTTTGCTTTGTTTTGGGTTTTTTTGAATGTCCAGAGGACCAGATTTAACTTTTTTAGATTTTTCTACCTGGATTATTGAGCATGCATCAGGATATTTTCTACACGTATACTATTTATTGTGCTACAATTAGCAAGTTTCCACCAAATTACTAAAAATTTGACAAGCTAAATTAAAATTAGTTTTAGCTTACGGTGAAAAAGGATACAGTTCTCATCTCCTTTTTTGTTCTTGGGTGGACCTGGCATGTTGAGCAGGACCAGCTGGGAACTTTTAGATTTCTTCACCACCACTTCATTTAGCTTCACAGCTGTATGCATCCGCCGTACATTAGACTGGCTGCTGCATTAAAACAAAAGCAATGATAACAGGAGTGTTGATTAAATAAATAAAACAATATATTTAACTGTGGAACAAAGTCATCTGTTATTTAAAATTAATTATTATTTAATTGTTTGTATAAAGCACTATATACAACTATAAATGTGACAATCTTGCATGCAAATACCAATCTGTAGAAGGATGTTGTTTAATTGCACAATTCATTTTCTTTTTCCTTATATTGTTGGTCATCATGCATCCTAATAACATGGAAACTAAATTACACTAAGAAGCCAAGCAACAATTTTCAAATACATCAACATGCAAAAAGACTAAGAGTGAAAGACAGAGCAACTTACAGATTCTCCCACTCACTGGAGGAATAGAAGAAAAACAAAAGGAACAATCAACATTACAGAAAAATAAATCACTTGTTAATATTACAGGGGAGAGAAAAAAATTTACAAAAATTTACAAGTTATTGGATATATGTATAGCATAACTCTTTAAAAAAGAGAATGCTGTAAATTCAATTCATGTGTGTGTGTTAAAAACTTGTAGCTCGCACAATGCCCCTTGGGCAGTTCACTTCACTTCAAACTATTCCTCTATGAGACTTTGAGGATTCACCTCAGTATCTTAGCTGTTCCTAGTACTGGGTTCTACTGGACAGAGATCTCTGAGGTTGTTCCTGGGATCTGCTGGAGCCAGTCCTCCAGTTTGGGGGTCTAAGCATCAAGTGCTCCAAGTGAACACTGGGACTACTGACGCTTTGACTCTCCACAACTTCTGTCTTTCCTCTTTAAGACCTTGATATTTATTGAGCTTCTTCTGCTACATCTTCCCGATGTTATAGTCACTTGCGATGGCTACATCTATCACCACTACCTTCTTCACTTGCTTATTGACCACCACAATGTCTGGTAGGTTAGCCATCACCTGTTTGTCGGTCTGGGTCTTGAAGTCCCATAGGATCTTAGCCCTTCCATTCTACACCACCCTTGGTGGTGTCTCCCACTTGGACTGTGGGACCTCCAGTCCATACTCAGCTCAGATGTTCCTGTATATTATTCCAGCCACTTGGTTATGGCGCTCCATATACGCTTTGCCTGCCTGGATCTTACACCCTGCTATTGTGTGTTGGACTGTCTCAGGGGCATCTTTGCACAGTCTGCATCTTGGGTCTTGTCTGTTGTGGTAGACGCCGGCCTCTATTGCTCATATGCTGAGGTCCTGTTCTTGTGCTGCCATCTTGTGTCTCTGTGCTGTCCTTCAGTCCAGCCCTTTCTAGCCACTGGTAGGATTTGTTGATATCAGCCACTTCTTCAATCTGCCGGTGGTACATGCTGGGCAGGGCCTTATCTTTTCATAATGACTCCTCTGGTTTCACCTCTTCCACATTGGGTTTCTGCTGCTGCCTGAGAAATTCACTCATCAGTTCATCACTGGGGTTATAGTTTATAGTATAGTATAGGTTACAGTAGTTTCATCCTGTGTAGTGGCTCACATGATCACTGGTCCCCTGCCGCCCTCTTTTCTCTTAGTGTATAGTCTCAGGGTGCTTGGAGAGAAACTCGTGGTGCATTGCGAGGCGCTGTCGAGTCTTGATGTCAGTGGCTTCTACCTCCTCCTTTGGACAGGCTGTTATACAAGCTAGATATCTGATGACTGGCACTGAATACATGTTGATGGCTTAGACATTGTTCTTGCTGCTCAGCTGAATCTTAAGGAGCCAGCTGAATATAAGTGTGTTTGTGTATGTGCATGTGTATGTGTGTGTATGCATGTGCATATGTTTTATTTATTATGCAAAATATTGTGTCAGTCCAAATTGTAAATGGCATCGTTATGAGGCTATTCAGAGCTGGTGTTAAATATCCATCTGGATTGATTCACACAATGAGCTGTCAGTTATAACAGCTGTTAATTTGTCAGTAAATTAAACACACAGGCAGGAGTGGCATGGAGAAATTCCCTTTTTGACAGGAAGAAACCCCCAGCAGAGCCAAGCTTTGGATAGATATCTATCCATCTGCCTCGACTGGCTGGGGAAAAAGTGTTTTAGTGCTTATCAAGGCTTTTCAGACTTGTATGTTGCACTAAATGCAATTCATTATACTGAAGAACCAGGTCTGTACAGGGCTCATGGTGTCTCTTGCATATCTACTTACGGTTTCATATTAAACATGTCCTTTACGGCCATGCCTTCTCTCTGTTTGTTCCTTTCATTCAGCAGCTTGTCTTTTGTCCACGTCATGTGGACCTGATCTGGTGTAGCTCCTGCTGCTTTGTCGTTCATTGAGAAATGAGACGCTGTGTTCCGGTCGTGAATCAACTGGGCCTAAATAAAAGAAAGACCAGGGCAGCTTACATATTAGAAATGACAATACAATACATCAGAGAATTAGACAGTTTGCATTGTTGTTGTACATATTGGAAAAGGGAAAATATAATGAAAACCAAAAGGGAAAATGTATGGATGGTGCCGGTGAGCAGTCAAGTTTATAAAAAGTGAAATAACAAGCAGGACCATAGCTCATTTTCTTTAAAGATTCACGTGTACATTAGATTATACAACACTGTTTTGTTGTAAAATGCAACTCTCCTGCTACAAAATTGTGATATCCAGAAAAACACATGCAAACAAATCCCCAAATTACTCCTCAATTAACTAAACGTCTGTGATGCTCTGAATCTGAGCTCACGGCCCAATCACAGCACAGAATCATGGGAAAATCTGAAAAGCCAGAAAGAGCAAAACAGAGCAGGACGAGCTGACTTTTTGGGGAGTGTTTGTGTTGCTGGAGTTAGTTACACATCATGCTTTATTAATTAGATTTGAATCTTCAAATTGTTTGTTAATAGTTCTGTTCATTAAAATTTTATAGCACTTAGACAACCATTGTGATCAACTTAGTACTTCAGTAGGTAAACAGTGATGGTCATACCTCTCTTTCCCTCTCAGTGCGAGACAGGTGCATCTGTTTCAGCATTTGAGATCTCTGCTCCATCACCAGCGTCTTCTCATAAGTAAACGCTGAGATATCGCTGTCATGCTACAGAAAGGTACAGAAAATATTACAATTCTTCAGTTATTGTGATAAGACACAGTAAACTTGGATAAAACTTTAAGCAATAAACATCTTAGAAGATAATAAATCTCACCATCTCCACCACCTCCACCTTTGCATCAAGACGCAGCTGATAGACAAACATCTGGAGGTCTTTTTTCATCTGGATGGAGTTGTCATCCATCTGGGCCACTGTGAAGATTCTCATCTTGCACTTCCTCCACACCTACAAAAACTTGAATCAGTAGCAGGCAATGTGCGCAGCATCTTGTCTATCTGTCATCTGGTACTGTATTATTAAGACGTACAGATTTTCTACAGACGCTCAGTTCTTTAAAACAATTTTAAACACTGAAGTTTATTTATTAAAGCTTTAAGAGAGCTCTCCTTTGAAACATGAGCCAAACACACACCTTGTGCTGAATGAGTAAAAAGGGCAGTAGCATGAGCAGTCCACCGTCGTGTACGATCCACCACACGTCGATCGTGCCATCTTTTATGCGCTCGAGGTTGTTGGGGAAATGGTCGATGTTCTTTGCAACCAGCAGAGCCTGATGCGCCGATGTCGTCTCTCTTACGGTTTCTGGAAAAAGAAAGAAAAAGAATCTGCGATTAACAAAAAATAAACCTGGAATATCCCTTTCTTTTTACTCTTGCAGAAATAAACTACTCTACAATTATTTTGTGCCATTAAAATATTAACAAATTTAGAATATATTTACCATATTAACAAGGCTGTAACATGGAAGCTACCGATACTAGAAAAAAATGTTACCTTTTAAAAATGAGGTAATAGTGTGCAAACGTTCTGAGTTTAAAAGTGTTGCATATTACAGGACATACAGCAGCTCAGCAAATTGAAAAAGCATAAATTAATTAATTATTTCAATAGTCACGTTTTAACTGGGACAGATTTGACCTCTGAGTTTGTACTCCTCCCACGTGACACTCCTGTGTGGTTTACCTATGAAGTTCCTCCTTGCAGAAGTATCCTGGGCCTGTCTCCAGCCTGCTGGCCAGGCCATCAGAACAGTGTTGTGCTTCATCCCTCCTAGTCCTGCGGCTTGGATCAGTATGGAGAAACCGTCTCGCAGGCTGGACGACACTATCACATGCGAGAAACCTTTGATCCGCTCGGCAGCCAAGGCTGCTTTCAAGCTCTGAAGGAAGAACAACGACAACAAAAAAAGCTGTGGTATTTTGAAATGAAAATGCCCACTAATCTTTTTGAACTTTGTGTATGTGTAAAAACAGGTGCTGTGTTAAGTGAGAGGCAGCTCGGTGCAATCCAGCACTCAGACAACAATGCTGCATACACACAGAGGTAACTAAGCCTGTACAAAGTACCACAGGTGAAAAATATGGAAGCTTAATCAATTCCTTTTTAGCAAAGGATTGTTGTGTGCAAAGTGTTAATGACTCTCCCTCTCCAACTATTTCACCTTTCCATCCTCAAAGATTTCTCGTACAACAAATAGGGTCTAAAGCATGAGAAGGCCTTTGGACTTAAAATAAGTCTCTTTTCTGGTGCAGCTACTGGTGCAGGTAGTCACAAGTCTCATTTGAAATTGTTAATGCACATGCAGCAAAGAAACAGACAAACCTTCTCTCCAGTCTTGGCGTCATCCTTGCGGTTCATGTACGTGCCCTCCAGGACAGAGGCGACTATGGTCAGTCCCTTTCCTGCTTTGAGCTGCGAGGTGAAGGTCAGGAGACGAGGATGCGTCACCTCAAGCTTCGAGTCCAGCTTGCACAACACCAACAGCTGTGGTCTGAAGGGAAACACAAACACGTAAGCTGCACACAAGTTTAAAAAAATACATCCGTATGTTGTATTTCTTGTGCTTAAATAAATCTACAGCAAGTGCTGATGTTTTTTTTTGTTTTAGGAGTCGAATGGTTGCTACACGCTCACCTCCAGTTTTTGGTGTGGAGTGGTACTTCCTCAAGTCGGACGAGAGCGTAGCGAGCTGCGTTTAAGGACAGACCTCTGATCCCGTCGCCCCATTCCTTCTCTGCCCTGCATCACAAGGGCCCAAAGAGGAAAAAAATCTTTTCTGTCCTCAAACGCAAGAAAGCTCCAGTTTTGTATTGTCCCATCACTAAGTTAAAGCTTCTAACTAAAAGGTTTTAATTCTGTGAGTAACTCATAAAACAAAGGTGAAATATTCACGGTTTTAAAATATTTACTTGTAAAGAAAACAGAAACATCTAAGCAATAAAAAGCTAACATGTCCTTTAAATTATCTTCCAAACCTCAATGTCTTTGATTATAAAATACAAAGTTAACAGGAATGACAAAATGATTTGCAACTTCAAACTTCTAAACCCACCCTCTGTATTCAATGTATTTATAGATGCAACCAGCGATCACTATGGCAACCAGAGCATAATACCAGGAACAGATGAACATGAGTGAGAGACAGAGACTCATCCCTAAGAAGGACAAGGTCCTGAATAAAAATAAAACAAATCACTTGTTAAAAACACCAGTGATGTTACTAAATTCACAATTTGCTGAGTTCGTTGAATTTGTTCTCACCAGTGGTAAAACTTAAAGCGAGGTCTCCAGTTGGGAGTTCGGAGCAAAGTCTGAACAGCACAGGCCAAGTTGACAAACAGGTAGCACATGAGAAAAAACCTAAACAGGCAACAACACAAACTGTGAAGAGATGCAAAGGTTTAGTTTGAGGAGTACAGCATTGAGCATGAGGACACATACATGGAGAGAATGGGGGCCACATCATCCACAGAGGCGATGAGGATTCCTATCTCACAGATCCCAATTGTCAACAGAAGAGCCCAGGTGGGCTCACCGTTAGCCTTTCCATGACCAAAGACCTGAGAAAGACAGAAAACAGAGGAAAAAGATCTGATGCTATTCCTACATCACAATCTGCAGAGTTAAAGTTTGGCTTCTTTATGTTTAATTTCACTGACTGTTCTTAGGTAGACCCTTGTAGAGTTGTGGTACATTTAGAAACATTGAATACCTTTAATTTGTGTGATCACATTGGTCTATTTGTTTAACTGTAGCACCTTAATGTGAACATGTGATTCTTGTGCTGTAGCTGGTTCATTTAACTACAGAAATATTGTGTTTTACATTAAATGACAGTCATTTTGAAGATGCTGCCATGATCTTGAAAGGGCTTTTAGAAGTCAGAGAGAGAGTCAGAGTTTCTTTATTGTCATTCGCACCTCATGTGGTACATGTGGTGGAGCGAAATTATGTACATGTAAGTGAGCTCTATGGTAAGATTAACAATTAATATCTTACATGTTGTAGATAGTGGTTTGTATTGCCACCGTTAAGAGAAACAGAACATTTTCCCCACAGTAGCTATGTTTACATGTGAAAAATTCTTTGATCGGATGGAAATGTATTCAGATTAAATAATCCGAATGTCGTTTACATGGGCACAATCTGATCATGGTGAGTGTTTACATGCTGCGGGCTTTTATTCAGAATAGAAGTACTGACATGCACAGAGTAGTAAACTTTCCTTAAAAAAAAACACAGAAGAAGAAGTTCTACTTCTGGGATGAACGTAAACAAACTTGAGTGCCCAAAATGGACTCTCAACAGGGTTTAATGACGGTGGAGACGTTAATGCACTCCCTGACTGAGCTACAAGTAATACAGATCATTCTGAGCTCTTTCAAAGTTTCTAGTAGAAATGTTGTGTCGCTCACCCACCAGTTTTGCTTCCCCGACATATTAGCAGCTAGCCAGGCAGAAATATATGAGGTTGACAGGTCACACATGTTCCATCAGGTCAGTTTTCCACAATCAGAATAAAATGATCAGATTAAGTGTTTACATGAACACCGTTAGGATTATGAATCAGCATAAACCACGCATCTCATTCTGATTACAAATTCATTCGGATCGAGCTGAATCAACAAAGAATAATCCGAATAGGGCGTTTACATGATGCATTTTTATTCTGAATGGCTGTTTAATCTGATTATTATGTCCATGTAAACATAGCAAATGTTGTTTTGTATAACACTCCTGCAGGAAGTAACCCAAGTTGCACCAAAGTGCTACAGTTAGCTGCTACTGTTGCCATTTCAGCTTGCAAATAAACAAAATATCATGGAAATAACCATGCAATGCTAAGCTAACAACATTGTAAAGACTTAAAAATAGTGTTTACATGAATTGCCATGAGGTTTTTAGATTAGAGTGGTTTTAAGATGGGGCTGTGGTAGCTTGAAGGTCAGTGCTGCAGTTTTAAAATCCTACAGCTGCATGTTCAAGCCCAGGTTAGGTTAGGAAGGACTTGTGGAGTAAAACAATTGCCAAGCTTTCATGAAAGTTAAGTCATTGTAGCAACCCTTGCAGAAGGGAGCAGCCAAAAGAAAGTTCGTTTTTTTTAAAGATGGCAGCAACTTCCTTTGTTACTGGCCCCAAGCAGGGTAGCCATTTACTCTTAAATATTGTCAAAGCTTGTTCTGTTGGCTATTAAATCAAGCTTCATGTTCTACAAATGCTTGAAAATAAAATATATCGGTGCAGACAACTGTTCAACACAACAAACATGAGAGGAATGGGAGACGATGCTTGACCAAAAGTAAAAAAAAAATCTAACAAGTAAATGAAAACAATCTTTCAGTTACTTACTTGTAAGAATGGGATGATGCCATCCCGAGCGATGGCCTGCAGCAGACGGGGGGCACCAGTCAAGCTCTGCAGTCCCGCACCACAACAAGAGAAAAACGAGCCGATCACTATCACCAAAGGCGACGGCCAGGCCAGAATACCAATTACTGGATTCTTCTTTACTGAGTAACCAAACCTGGAATATATCCAATCAAAGAGACGTTTTACAGAATGCACTAAGGCTTTAAGTTATTCTTTTAAAGAAACAAACCAGACAAGACCAAAAACAAATAGTATTATTTCTAAGCAACAAAATCCATGCTCAATAATCCAATAATATTAATATATATTATAATATATA